TCCTGGCCCTGCTCCTCTTGAGCATGGGGCTAGAATTCCTTCCAGTGTCCTGGCTTGATGGAGTCTACCCTGCCCGCACTGGACAGCAAAGAGAGCGCCTAGCCCTGGATGCTCTGTCCTCTCTCCTAGGTTCAGTCCGGCATGGCTGGGGCAGAGTGGCTTTGCCCACGTGGTGGGAGCTGGGCAGAGTATGACTGATGGGTTGCTGGGTGGTTAGGGTGTCAGTACGAACCGCACGTCCATCCCCCGCAGTGCTGGGGGACACAATAGTGTTCTTCCGTACTGTAACCATGCAGAACAGTTTTGCTCCCTTGCTGCAGGCAGCAGGGCGAAAGGCGAGGGGATCAAGTGACAGCACTGCCGATTTAGATTCAGTCTCGGGCACAGTTTCTGAGCTGTGAGAGTAGCACTGCCATGGATCAGACACTTGGGAGGTCATGGAGGCGCCTGCAGTTGCGGTTTCCAGAAGGAGGCTGGAGAGAGCTGTCTTGGGTGGCTTGGGCCCAGTAAATCCTGCATCCTGGCAGAGGGTTAGATTAGATGACCCTCCTGGGCCTTTCTAACCCTATGAGTTCTGAGGCTCTACTGGAGAGGGCCGAGCAGCCTTTCAAGTTGAGGCTGATGGCTCAGGGCTGCCAGGTTCACGCCACGTGCTGCTTCCAATCCACCAAAGCTTTGTCACGCCTACCATGTCAGAGCCACGTGGTGGTGGAGGTATTGTAGTTTCCTTGTGTTGCCCATGCGTACGGCCTTTGTCCAGCCTGGCAAAGTGGCCCATGCACTGTGCGCCCCCCTCTGAGGGAGACTGTCCCTCAGGCACAGCCCTGCAAATCCGCAGAGGCCCGCTTTCTGTCCGGGGGTATCTGCATCGCGGATGTGGCTGCGGGGATCCGTGCCTCGTTTTTGCGGCTGTGGGTACAAAATTTTGTATCCACGCAAGGCTGTACCCTAAGGAACAAGCTGACTCTCCAATTGCAAAGCACCCCATTGTGCCTGGGACAGCTGGGCTAACGCCAGGATTTCTGCTGCCTCCCCTACCTCCAGCTATACAGAGGTGGGCGGTGTTAGAACTAGCCTCCGCCATCCTCTCGCGAGGCCACGGTGTCCTGGTCCCACTCCCGCTGTCCCTGCAGGACTTGGTGAGCTGCTTGGGATGCCTCTGGGTGAGACAGGACGGCGGTGCCCCTCACCTGCTGTGAGGGCAGCGCTCGGCGGTCTCTGCTTCTTCCCGGGTTTGCTTGGCATTGGGCTGGGGTGCCTCAAACATTCCGCCTAGTGCTGCATGGTCTTCACCTCAGAGCAGGCTCCTAATTTGTACCAGGGTCAGGCCATGAGGCCCCCACTGGGACTGGGCCAGCTCTTACCCACGCCAGCCATGGGCCTCATGGGGAGCCCTGGATTTCAGCCCCATGATTGCCGTGTGCTTTTAAATGTTCATCCTCCGCTCCAAAATATTTTCAGTGTGCGCCTTGTCCAGGCATGCTGGTGGCAGAAGGGATGGACTGGGAGTCAGGGGTGGGGATGGGGCCCTGCAGTCTTTGCCACTGATTGATAGTGAACTTTGGCAAGTTCCTTACCTTTTCTGTGCCTGTTTCCTTCTCCCCCTCTCCCTCCCCCCCCATGTCAGCAGCATTTCCCTGCCAGCCACATGCTTCTGGTTTAGCCCATTACCCTTGTGAAGCGCTCATCTCTCTCCAAGTGCGCAGTGTAGCACCCAGTGTCTTGTCAGTACGTCCTTTGGTGGAGGGAACACGTCCCTTCAGCAGAGTCTCTGTGGCTTGCAGGATTTATTCTGAATCGGCTGAGTGTACCTCAGGCCTCATTACGTATCCCAGGCAAAACGACTCCCCGTTAGGCCACTGGCTCCTGCCTGTCCTGGGTTGGCTGGGACCTATGCATGTCGGTCTGGTTCCTAGTGCACAGTTGGCCTGTTGGACATGCCTTGGCCTCCTAGGTGGCATTCTCGGTTGCTATGGAGATGGCATGCCTGCCTCGCCCCAGAGGTGGCCGTCCAGGGTAGCAGCCTGGGGGAGCCTGCCCTGGGGACAGAGGACGTCGCTTTCCAAGGCTGTGGGTCCTGTTGACCCTGTCAGCACCAAACTCGCAGGAAGACAAATGTTAAAGGCAGGTCTGCGGGGGGGCTGAGCGGGCCCCAGGAGGCTCCTCGCTGGCAGTTCAGTGCCTGCCCAGCGCAGCAGGGAGACTGTGACCTGTTGTCTTGTTCTGTCCCTTTCAGGAGTTTGGTTGGCAGTAAGTGTTTTTAATGGACTTGTATCTCCTCACCTCGATCAGGACTGAAGGACGGAGGCCGCTCCACCCCTCTCCTCCCCACTGCCCCCAGCTTCTTCCAGGCACCCAGGGAAAGTCACGTCGCCTGCAGGACTCCAGCTGGCACCCGGTGGCCTCGGGACCCACACTCGCTGCTGCTGCTTCCTGGGGCAATGCTGGAAGACGTGGAGTTAGGGAGGGATAGCGTCGGGGCCACTGTGAGCAGGGCGTGCTCCCATCCACGGATACTCGGACCCAAAGAGAAATGGTGCTTTTCCATGGAAGCTTGTGAGCTCCTTCCTCTCCGTGGCCCTTCTGGGGACAGCTGGAAGGGAATCTATTGCCTCCTGTGTGCTGGGGAGGGTTGGTGGGGTGCAGATATCCCTGCGGGGTGTCTGGTGCCTGGCCTGCTTGGCTCACTGGGGCCAGTATCCATGTCCTCCCAAGGTACACTGTCTTCTCGTCCTGGGGGAGCTCTCCTGAGGAGCGTGATCCCTTCTCCCAACTAGTTCTAGGCCTGGCTTGTCTGGCCCCTTGTACTCAGCTTAGAGAACAGCATTTCCCCTTGCCTCGTGGGGAGCAGGTGGGCTGCTGCGCCCCATCACCTCTTTCTGCTCCATTTCTGTAGTCGCCTCTGAGCCCTCTCCGTCTGCTCTGCGTCCTCTAGGAGGCTTGCTCCAGAAAAGAGGCGAACCCTCTTGGCTGGGCTCAATGCCTCCGGCTCTCCATGCTGATCTCATGCAATAACCGTTCCAGTCCATGTTTTTCCCTACTGCAAGCCCCAGCCACCTTATTCTCCAGAGTTAGTCTCCTCCCAGCAAGGCTGCCTTCCTTGTTTTAGAGGAAGCAGCTTGGGCAGAGATTCGAGTGTTGTGATGTGGGGGGCGATGCAGGAGGGGTGGGCTTGGGGGCTGTCTGGATGAACCAAACCACTGATAACCTTGCGAGCTGCTTAGCCTTTCTGTGTGGTGGTGGGAGGTGCACTGATTCCAGGAATGGAGGTCTCTGCTGGAGACTCCCGCCTCTTCCTAAACTTTCTAGGAGTGGGAGCTCCCATTCAAGCCGTGTGCGTGGGGGGGTTATTTAGACAGCACTGCCGCTTGCCTTTGTTCTGTGGTGTGTGAGCGTGAGCAAGGGTTTGGAGCAGCCGAGAGTTGGTTTGCACCTAGCCAAGGAGTCTTGGTGTCTGTTCCAGAACTGGGCTCTGATTGAGTCCCTGAAGGGCAGGGGAGGTACATAACCACCATTTCCACCACAGCCTGAAGTCTTAGCTGGTGATTCTGGAAGGTGGTGTGGAAGGAGCCATGTTCCCTTGAGCAAAGGATGCTGTAGGGTACAGGTGGCCAGAGAGTAGCCTGCATGTGTTGCACCGTTGTGGCCATCTGAGCTGCAGCCTGTGGAGGGCACACATCCCAGCATGCACTTCTCCAGTCACCTAGCGCACGCTGACACCCATTGCATGCTGGGACTTGTAGTCTCCAGAGGCTGCACTTTTATGGAAGACTGAAGACGGCAGCCACCATCTGCGTTTCATGCCGATTCAGTGTGGCCCTTGTGCTCCTGGCAAGTTGTGGACACAGCTGGGCAAAACCTGGGCACCATGCCTCCCAGCAGGGGTCTCGTACTCCAGTTGGGCACATCAGAGATGGTGGCATGGGACAAGAGGTGACTTGCAGTGTGGAGTGCACAGGGCGAAGTGAAGTGGCACCTCCGTACGAACTGTGATCAGTGAGCAAAGGCCAGCTCTGGGTGTCTTTTTAAAAAGAAAATGAAAAAATGTGGAAACAATGTGAGGTGACAAAAAAAAGTGTAAAATACCAGAAAACCCTTTGACAGGAGAGTGTTCTGTTTTTTACGTAATGACACACATTTTTAGTTTATTTCAGAATAGTGTGGAGGGGGGAATAATAAAAAAAAATAACAAGCAAAGCCCCAATTCCCTTCCCCCAGTTCTCGGTGATTTGATTTGTTTGTCTCTTTCTGATAGGTTGGAAATTGTGTAATAAACTTGATGACGTTGTCAATCTTTTATACCGCATTGTATGTTTTCTTTATTTTCCTTTTGTAACAAAATTTTTTAAATAATAAATGGGGTGTGAGCTGTTTTACGGAACCTGCATTGGATAAGAGTGGTGGTATTAGTGCTGTTGATGGGGGAGCTAGGGTTTCTGGACTCCTGTGCGCTTGACCTGGCTTGTGGTCTGGTTTTCAGAGGCACCGGGCCTTCAGACCCAGCATTTAATGGTCAGACATTTAGGAGGCTGCCTAGGACACTAGGCCAGCTCTGTCTTCTCCCAGCCAAGAGGGCTGTGTAGGCTTCTGAGGCTGCTCCCCACACAACAGGCCAGGGGCAGAAGCTACACTTCCTACCCTGCCTCTGTTCCCTGCCTTGCAGCAATGTCTGGGTCTGAGAGCAGCCGCTGGGCCCTGACTTCACCCTGGCTCTTCCCTCCTCAGGTAGGAGAGTGTTCAGGGGTTTCTGAACTTGCCAGCAGCAGTGTTGGGAGTTGTGGATTTCTGCCTTTCAGCCAGGACAGCATTCAAGACTCCAGCGCTTAAGAGCACCACCCTCAGCACTGCTCTTAGGCAGTACCATTGACCTCAGCGGGCCAGTCCCACGCCTTGTGACGTGTAAGGAATAATTTCCCCACCAGGTCCAGGTGGTCAGAGCAGTTTCTGTGGAATGCTTTGAGAACCACTCTCCAGAGGGGACAGAGGTTTGGTGCTCCGGCAGACTGCCCATGCTGTACGTCAGGCCCTTGCTCTCCAAGAGGACACAGACATAGTTTGCTTTTGGGTGAGTGGAAACTGCACCATTCTGGGTAGGGCTGAGTTAAGGTTAAAATAATCCCAAACCGGCAAGTCAGAGGTTCCGAAAGAAACGTAAATGCCAGAGTCTGGAAAGAGTCACTGAGGTGAACATGTCAACTGGCACTGCTCCTTTCACCTTCCATTACTGTTCCCTCCCCGGCTACTTTCCCACTGTCAGCTGCCATCCCTGTTCAGAGCTGGCATTACAATAATAGAGTTCTGTTGATGCTCTAGCCCCCTGGATCAAGGGATGG